CCCGCCACCCTCAGTATATGGGGCTGGTGCCCTAGCCACTAACCCACAGGCACCACCTAAAGGATTTTTTTTATTGTTGTTTTTTGTTTTTAGAGACAGAGTCTCACTTTATCACCCTCGGTAGAGTGCTGTAGCATCACAGCTCACAGCAACCTCCAACTTCTGGGCTTAGGAGATTCTCTTGTCTCAGCCAAGTAGCTGGGACTACAGGCATCCGCCATAACGCCTGGGTACTTTTTTGTTGCAGTTTGACCAGGGCTGGGTTTGAACCCAACACCCTTGGTATATGGAGCCGGCACCTTACCCACTAAGCCACAGGCACCATGGAGAAAGATTTTTTTAAAAACAAAGCACAAAAAGTTCTAGCTATGAAATAAGAATGATAAAATTAACATTTGATTTGAGAATATCTGTTCACAAAAAACACACTATAATGAAAATGAAATGACAAACCACAACTTGGAAAGTTATTTGCCATGTATATAACAGATTTAATATCCAGACTAGTTCGGATTTTTGTTTGTTTTATAGACAGGGTCTCACTCTGTTACCCAGCCTGGAGTGCAATGGGGCAATCACAGCTCACCACAGCCTCAAACTCCTGAACTCAAGTGATCCTCCTGCCTCAGCCTCCCAACGTGCTAGAATTACACATGTGAGCCACTGTGCCCAGTCCAGAGTAGTTTCTAAAGGTCAATAATTTAAAAAACTTCAAAGACGTAGTCCATAGGAAAACGATAAGAAATAGAAAAAGTTTCACAGAACAGGAAATCCTAGTGGCCAATAAACTCATGACAAGAAGCTTAATTTTATCAGCATAACTAATCAGAAAAAATTAAGAATTGTAACAATACCAAATATTGGTAAGGATTTGACTCAACAGAACTCTAACAAATTAATCTCTTTATAAAACTATTTTGTGGGGTTTTTTTGACTTAGATTTATAATCTAGAGAAACTCTTGCACGTGGGCAGCAAGACACACGAATGTTGAGGGCAGCATGGTTCTCAACAGCAAAGAAAGAAATACAGGAAAGCAATGAAACAACTCAAATGTTCATTAACATGAAAATTCTGGAACATTCGTGCTATGAATTATAGCATTGAAAACAAATGAACTACAACAAGAATCTAATAAGTAAAAAAATCAAGTTACAAATTACTGTTAACAGTAGGATTTCTCTCTTGTAAAACAAAATAACAAAGTAAAATATCACATAGGTGATAAAACTACTTCATCAAAAGTAAGAGTGATAACACAAACTTCAGGCAGGTGGCTTCTCTGGGGACCCAGCAGAGCACTGGGGCAGGATGGTACAGGGTCTCCTGACCTCCTGATGTGGGCAGTGGGCATTACTGTGAGATGCATTTACTGGGAGATACGTGACTAATACTGCCTTTACTCTCTTGTATGAATCAAGTAATATATAGTAAAAACTAAAAAGCATTTTACACACACACGCGCAGCATGGGATCCTGGAAAAGTAATAGCTCAGTATGAACCCAAAGATGTGCAGTAAGCTAAAAAGAAATTAAATAGCAAATTATATGAATGTGTTATTTTCCTTCAAGTAGCAACATTTAAAATGACATTTAGGGCTTGGTGCATGTGGCTCATGGGGCTATGGCGCCAGCCACATATATCTGAGCTGGTGGGTTCGAATCCAGCCCGGCCCGCCAAGCAACCAAAAAATAGCCAAGCACTGTGGCAGGCGCCTGTAGTCCCAGCTACTTGGGAGGCAGAGGCAGGAGAATCACTTGAGCCCAGGAGTTAGAGGTTGCTGTGAGATGTGATTCCAGGGCAACAGCTTTGAGGCTCTGTCTCAAAAAAATAAATAAATAAATAAATAAAATGACATTTAATCATAGGTTTATATTTCTTCCTCTCACCATCTAAACACACTAGTAATTTCCACAATAAATAACAATAAGGTAATCATGCTGAAAGGTAGTTTTCTACTTATAGAACCAACTACAGAGAAGTTGGGAACACAGCTTCAAAACACATTGTAAATGTTATAAAACATTTTTTTAACAAAGTAATATAACTCTTCAGAATATACTAATTTGTAAAAAACATAACTCTTCAGACTTGTCAGTGTTACCAAACTTTACTCTAAAAAAGCAAAGTGATGCAGTGTGAAGAGGCTTTGCAGCTTCCTCTTGAGAGTACCATTCTGGGGAAAGCAAGGCACCTTATCAGAAGTCTGCCCGGAATCCACCATGCTGCTAGGAAAGCTCAGGCCACACGGAGGGAAAAAAATGGCCCACTAACCTCCAGCTGAGCAGTTCTCCCAGCTGTCCACAGGCCTTGGTCATGAAGAAGCAATAAAATGATTCTCACTCTAAATTAGTTCCATGTAAAGCAACAAAGGGATAAACATTGTACATCACCATGTGCCCTGAAGTCTAAGGGCAGAATTACTGTTATTTTATATCTGCTCTGAATGACAGATGCAGGAAGCCAAACTCAGACCAACACCTGATGGGGTCAAAGAGAATCCTATTCCCACTGCTGACTATGATTCCAGAGGCAGGAATGACCCTGCCTCAGATCAAACAGAAGCAAAGACAGCTTTGCAGGGAGCTTCTGAAAAAGTAGTCCTCACTCTTTTGGGTGAACACCTACAAGCAATGGTCTCTCTCTCTCAACAGAACATAAGCTAGGAAGCAATTAGCTCCAATTGCTCCCAGAAGCTCTGTAGCAAAGAGCAGAACCAGCCTCAGGGCAAAAACCATCAAGGGGGACAGCAGAAAAGAAAATGGCAAGGAAAATTACGAGCCACTGAGTCAATCCCCCCTCCTCCACCAAAACCTTTCTTCTGGACTTAGGTTTGGGAGCCAACTGCCTTCCTTCCTGATGGAGCCAAATTGATACTGTGGCTTTTTCTTGCATCCAGGAATGCACCCAATGAATGCGGCAAAGGCTCTCGGAGGAGGCATGGGAAGGGGGCTGAGTCCTACAGAGGTCAAGACTCCCAGAGAGGAGTCCAGCACATGAGTGAGCAGGTGGAAAAGGAATCCGCAAAGCTGGGCATAACCTCCAGGGCCTGCCCGAGCAATCCCAAAAATTGACTTTAAAGGACTTTTAAAGGTGGATTTACTGAATGAGATGTGGGAATTAAGGGTAAGAGGCATCAAGGCAGCATCCCTAGATTTCAGCTCAGACACCTGTCAGACTTTGAGAAAAGAAAAACTGGTGAAGATAAAGAAGATTAAGATTAAGGACAAGTCCCAGATATATATGGGACTTGCAAGTGCCGGGGTCGAGAATCGGTGAACACACGCTACCCCTCTTTCGTTCGCCCCACAAACTTGCTGGCGTGCTCGCATTCCAGGCACGGCCCCAAGACATAGGTTCTAACTGCCGGAGCTCATTTTTCAGTAGGAGAGGCGACAAGCAAGAAATGCACACAGATCTGGGAAAGCACAGAGCGCCTGGACGCGCGGGCCAGGGCCCGGGGCTAACCGCCGGAACCCCACAACCCGGGCTCCGAGCGGACCAAGCCGAGGCAAGGCCTGGCGGCGCTCAAGGGGCGCCAGGGGTTGTGGGGAGGGCTCTCCCGACGGCTGGCGGTGGGGCCCATCCGAAGGTCGCGGAACCAGACCCACCCTTCCAAGCGAAGGTCTCTCATCTGGGACTTGTGTGGGTCCCACTGCCGAGCTCTTTTCGAACCGCGAGAGGGAGCCCCTCCGCGCGTCTAGCCCCACCAGCCAATCGCAAAGCGACTCGCGCCTACGGACAAGCACCGCGGACCCAGCACTGGTGCGTACGGGCGGGAACGCGCGGGCCCGTGACTAGAAGCCCGCCCTAACGGTTGCTAAGGACGCACCACCGGACGCCCCCTACGGCGCCTCAAAGAGGCCAAAAGAAATGAGCGCCTCCGCCAGCCCCGGTGGGCGGACGCTGTTTCTTCCCTCCTCGGAATCAGGAAGGATGAGCAGCGTGGAGTCCGCCTCTCGGCGGCCTCGTCCTGGTGGCCAGGAACACAGGGTGGCTCTGAGGGGCTCCCGCAATGGTCAGGAAAAGGCGGCGAGCGAAGCCCAGCTGGCGCCCCACACTTGCCCGCCCTGTGCTGATCGTCGGGAGCAGCGGGTTAAATTCGCATGGGGAGACCCGGAGTAAAGTTGCCGCTCTTGTCCCTTGTCCAGACGCGGCCAGCGAGGCTCGCAGAGCCGGCGATGCACGTAGAACCTGCCCGCACCTTGAGACCCACGGAGAGATCCGCCTGGCCCGCGGTCGCTCCACGCCTCCGAGGTCGGAACAGTGACCTGAGCCGATCCTCAAGCCCAGAGAGACTCTCCCCTTTGCTTCCACGCTCTCTCAGTCCGCCTGCGGTCACGGCTCTGAGCGCGTTGGCAGAGAAGGCACAGCTGACGACCTCGCGAAGGAACTACAACTCCCGTGAGGCGCTGGGCCCGCGCAGGCGCGGGGGGGGGCGCAGCCTCTGCCTCGGGATTCCATTGGCTGAGCCGGCTCAGAGCTGGGAGTCCTGATTGGCTGAGGGGCCTGAGGTAACGATTCCGGAAAGGGGAAGAGCAGCCAACATGGCGGCGGAACGCGGCGCGGGGCAGCAACAGTCGCAGGAGATGATGGAGGGTGAGCGGCCCTTATGGGCGGCGGGCAAGGGGCTGGAGAAGCAGCGGGCCGGCACTGCCCCTTGCTACAGGGAGACTCGGTGCCCGGCCCAGCCACCGCCACGCGGCCCCCTGACAGCTGCCAACCGGACCCAGGGGCGCAGGGGAGGCTTCAGACCCCGGGGAGCCCCAGGCCCAGCGCGGCATTGGCCCGGAGGGACCCAGAGCCAAGGGGAGGAGCGGCGGCGCGAGTCCAGGCCCAGGGGGTGGGGCCGATCAGGACGGGGTGGCTCAGAAGCGGGGCTGGAGCCTGGCTCCGAACCTCTGTGATTGACAGGCGGAGGAGCGGTCCTCCGTCAGCTGCGGAGGAAACTGAGGCTCGGGCCCCGCGACCCGCCTGAGGCTGCTCCCTGGTTCACTTGGCGGGGTGTGGAAGGGTCCTCTCTCGAAAGCGAATGGACTGAGGTGAAAGGGTGATGAGCAGCGGAATGAGATTAAGTTATAGAAGGTGGTGCCTCTTTTCAGGGCTGTCACACTTCTAAAAATACAGTTCAGCTTTCTTATTTGTTGGGGAAAAAATTATGTCTATATGTGTATGTGTATATATACATACACCTGTGGATTTGTACATAATCACATACATGCATATACAGTTATATACGCAGACACATTCATATACTCCTACCCCAACAGGAGAGTCGTGGAGTGCCTCTGTGCTTTTGGCTTTCCTGGTTTGGTGAGAGGTACAGACCTCCTAGAGGAGCAGTCACTGGTCTCATGTGAAAAATGTTAGGGAGGAGGGAGGCAGAGCTGGAAGAAGGTGGTGCAGAAGAAGGGCCCGCATGTTTGGGAGTGGTAAGGGCTCCACATCCAGGGCCAGTTCTGAGCTAGACATTAAAGAATAAATAGAAGTGAGCTAGGTTGGGGATAGGGTTAGGGAAAAGATCAAAGGTCACTCCATACAAAGGAAGCTGTATAGTCACAGGCAAACAGGTGTGAAGGAGAGTTTGACCAAGGGAGACAGTCATATGTGATGAGGTAGGAAGTGGCTAGTGAAGCTGGCCAGAGAGGTTTTGGAGGTCTGGGGCTGAGGTTTTAAAGGTCTCGGACTTTAATACGTTTGAATCTTTGTAAGTAAGAAGTGCCTCTTCTATCATCCTTCTTCCTCTGTCCCTCTTTTGCTGTTTCCGTGTCTTAGTAAATGACAAATACAAAGCCAGGCTTTTCTCTCCTACTCCCACCTGTCTAGTTAGTCAAGAAGCTCTGACACCTCTGCCTTTTAGTATCTTCAGATCTTCAGTATTTCCTCCCTTCTCACTGCCCATACCTAACTCAGGCATTTGTTCTTCTAGGCTGGATTTCATTGCCCCTGCTCACCACCCTGTCATCCCCCTCACTTTCCTGCATGTTGGTCTGTCCTATGGTCCAGACCTTTTCAACCACTCTCAGGTTTTTCTTTGGCTGCCTTTTATTAGCTAAGCCCCTCCTAACCTCTCCCCAGACCTCTTAGGACTCTTTCCCTAAGCCTGGACCACAGAGTGCCCATGCTTGGTGATAACTAATTTATTAAATGTCTACTCCATGTCATGTCCATGCTAACTGATCTTATGCCTTTTCTAATTTAAACTTGACAGCAACTCTGACGTTATAGGCACTATACAATCTCCCTTGTACAGGTGAGGAGACTGAGGCTCTGAAAAGGAAATTATTTGCCAAAACTCTATCTCTGAGGGCAAGATGCAAACTCATGAAGAGCCATTGGCACTCCAGAAATATTTTTAGAGTCAAAGATCAGATTCTCTGGCAACAGAGAATAGATTAAACAGGGCAAGACAAGTCACAGAGGGACCAGGGAGGCAGCAGGGCAGGAGTCTAGGACCAGGTAATAAGTAGACGCTGAGCTAAGATGGTTGCTAGAACAAGGAAGGAGAGATGGGTTTGGATGTTTGGAGGTGGATTTTATAAGGACTTGTTTCATGCAGCAATCCTTTCCTGGGTGCTACTTGGCTAGGCATAGCCAGAAATACAAAGATGAAATAGAATTTTTTCTTTCCCTCAATGAGCACATCCCCTGTAGATAAGCCAGAGTCAAGAAAGAAAATACTTCCAGTATGGTTGATTATTCTAATAATGTGATTGCCTCACATCTTACAGTCTTCCAAAAGAGGTTATGAAAAGAACTATTAAAAGTGTTTTGACCCGTCTTGCTACAGAAGTCTTACCTGCCCACATTTAGTCATTGGTGCTTACTCATTAATTTAAAAAATATTCACTTAACACCTTTGAAAGCTTTGAGTTGGTAGCACTCTGTCCAGTAACATTCATTACCAATGACTTTTCCTTGAGCAGTTCGCACTCTTGGTTATATTTTTGTTTTTCATTGGTGCCTTTCCTGGTCTGGGCTGAGTGGACCTGTGAACTGGGCTGGTTTTCTTGGCCAAATGGATAGTGGAATGTGGACAAGGTATGTGGCGTACAGATCACTGTAGTCTCCTCTGCAGAGGATATCCAGGCCAAAAGTGAGAGCCACTCAAGAGGTGATCACTATGTGGTAACATGAGTATGTTTGACCACAAATGAGCCCAAGGCTTTCAGAACATCAGCAATTCTTCACAAGCTCCTTGAGGGCAGTGTGTTACTCTCCTAAATATCCACGTGGCCTCCATACTCTGTTCTCTCCACCCTAGTTCTGCCGCCACTATATGCCTCAGATGGTGCTGGGACGTGGGAGACACTTTAGATGTTCGTTGAACTAGAGTCAACAAATGTTTTCCAATGGTCTTTTTTGTCTAACAGCTGGGTGCAAGTCTGTTATATATTCCTCAGATAGGCATATAAAATGGCTGTGGATTCTTACTGATGTTTGGGTTTAGTTGACAGGCGGGTCGAATCCGAAGAGTCAGGTGATGAAGAAGGGAGGAAGCTTGGCGGCAGCGGTGTGGCAGACCTCAGCAGACAGAGCCTGAAGGATGGGGAGGAGCAGGGGGAAGAGGAGCCAGAAGGTACCAGGCCAGCTCACCAGGGTGTTGGCTGTGTTGCATGGGATCTGTCCACAGGGCGGTGGGATTGTGTTACTCTTGGGAATGTCTACTGTGCCCTTGGTGGGCCATAGTCAGATGGGTGTGCTCTCTGGGTGAGGCATGCCCTCTAAGATACCCCCTCAGTGGGCCAACTTGGCAAGAAGAATGTGGCTTTTTCTAATTCTACCAAGGGCAGATACTAGTGTGTCACCCGGGACAGAACCAGAAAATTGTTTTCTTAATCGTATATTCCAAAACCAAGATTTGAGGTGAACATCGTAGCTGGTTTCTAGGCTGCTTTGTCCCACCTAAACAATAGAGACTTGCAGTCTCTTGGAGAAGTCACTTTGAATCCTGCTCCAGTGTGCAGCCCACACCCCTGATAGATGTGAGGAAAATCATTTTATGTGGAAAATAGTTTAATATCTTCCTATTATTGTTGGGGGATTTTTCTGTTTTGCATTTTTTTCCATTTTTGTTTTGTTTTGTTTGAGACAGAGTTTCACACCATCTCCCTGGGTAGAGTGTCGTGGCGTCATAGCTCACGGCAACCTCAAACTCTTGGACTCAAGTGATCCTCTTGGCTCAGTCTCCCTAGTAGCTGGGACTACAGGTGCCCACCACAATGCCTGGCTATTTTAGGAACAGGGTCTCGCTCTTGCTCAGGATGGTCTCAAACTCCTGAGCTCCAGGGATCCTGCCGCCTCAGCCTCCCAGAGTGCATGAGCCCATTTTGGGTTTTTATTTAAGAGACAGGGGCACACTCTGTTGCCAGGCCAGGGAGCAGTGACGTGCTCCCAATGCACTGCAGCCTCCAACTCCTGGCCTCAAGCCATCTTCCTGCCTCAGTCTCCCAAGCAGCTGGGACCACAGGTGCCACCATACCCAGTATCTCCTATTGTTTAGTGAGTAACAACTACAAAATAAATTTAGAGTTAAGAAAAGTACATTTTTCAGCCTATAGAGGGATTTTTTTGCCCTCCTCAGCAGTGGTCCAAGCCTTTTGATTTGTTTACTTAGAAAATCAATTTATATGGCTCGGTGCCTATAGCTCAACCGGCTAAGGCACCAGCCACGTACACCTAAGGTGGCGGGTTCGAATCCCCAGCCCGGACCCGCCAAACAACAATGACGGCTGCAACCAAAAAATAGCTGGGCGTTGTGGTGGGCGCCTGTGGTCCCAGCTACTTGGGAGGCGGAGGCAGGAGACTCGCTTGAGCCCAGGAGTTGGAGGTTGCTGTGAGCTATAATGCCACAGCACTCTGCCCAGGGGGATAGCTTGAGGCTCTGTCTCAAAAAAAAAAAAAAAAAGAAAAGAAAATCAATTTATATTAAAAAGAATGAGAGAATCTGCTCACTGTCTACCAAAAGAAAAGAAAAGAATGAGAGAAACCACATGAACACAGAAACACGTCCAAGATGTATTATTAGGTTAAAAAGCAAGTTTCTAAACAGTATGATATTTAAATGTTATTTTTAGCTAAAAAATATGAATACGTAAATTTACTTGCCTAAAAGAGAAAACACACCAAACTGTGGATGGTATTCCAGCTGTGGAATAGCTGGATTAAGAGGGACCTGTGGGTTCACCATTTTGTAGATTTTATGCTAATACAAATTAGGGCTGATCATACGTTATCCCTATAAAAGTTAAATATATAAAACAAAGGTAATTTTTAGAATAATGTGCTTTCACTGCTAGCAAAAATGACTGGTAACTATGGCAACTTAATTTTAAGGCAAAAGAAGATTACCACAAAAGTAACCATCACATATACTTTGGAACTTCAGGGTCGATATTCTGGGAATGACGTGGGTGGAGTAGAGTGCATGGAGGTGACAGATGGAAGCTTTCAAGATCATCTGACTTAGTCACAAACAGTGGGAGTGGTCACAGGCAAGCCCCACTGTCCTCAGGTGTGTGCTGCTGAGACATGGGTGTGCTTGGAGGACCTACCATGTAGTGCCTGTCCCAGGCTCACTGTGCAGGCTAATGATGTCACTGTCATGACCTGTGACTATAATGAGGATATAGTGTGTTGGGGATGAGGAGAGTAAGGCACATTATAGCTCTCCCAAGGGCACACAGCCACCAGACAGACAGACCGCCCTGCCTGGCCCAGAACCTGACATGTCTAAATCCAGGGCTCTTTCCTCCAGATGACAAGCTGATTATGAGTTTTCTGGGAATATGCATTTATGGTCCTTAGAGAAATCAGGACTTGCTCCTACTTGTATTTAAGTCTTAAGTTCAAATAAAACAAATTTAAACAAGTCAACTGTTACTTTCTAGTTATTTTCTATAACTTGTTTTTAAATATGATGAACACATAAGATATTCTGAGGCTGTTCTCAGCTGATAACCTTGTTTGAGAGGTTAGCTGACAGTCCATGTTGGGGGCCAGTCCTGTGCTTGGTACATAAACAACAGTACCCTTTCAAGGTTTTTAACTGTGTCTTGAGGCTCCTGGGACAGCCCCAGTGTCTCTATGCCAGCCCAGAGTGAGTGCTTATGGTGCCCCCTTTGCTCTCAGAGTGCCCAGAATTAGACTCGGAATGACTAGCACCTTGCCTGATCATGGTGCCTCTCCCGGCACAGCCTCTGAGCTTGTGAGCCTGGGTCTGTGCTGTCGTCTGGGGGGCTTGGTTGGGCCCATCTTATAGTTTTTCCCAGTTCCTTTTATTTAATTCTTAGGTTGGTTGGTGTCCTACAAAGTTCAATAAACCACAGTAAGCCTCATGTTTTTTAATTAGCCACAGTCACTGAGGCAAAGTGAAAAGACCAGGTTGTGAATCTATAAGTGAAAGCCATGAGAGGCCATCACTTTGCTGAGCTGCTCCAATGTCAAGCTCCCCAGTTGAGGAGCCAGGCTGATTGCTCACTCTGGAGGAGCCAGCCATCAGGGCCGAGGCCTAGGACGGTGGGAGCTGACTCAGGTGCACTCCAGGAAGGAGGGGCATTGTGAGCTCAGGAGAGACAGAAACAGTGACACCCAACTTTTAGGAGAGAGCATCTCACCACTGTGCGGCACCCAGAGGGAAGAGAAGGATGAGCGGCCTGCTTTCCTCCAACAGAAGGACAGCAGAGGAAAGGGGATCTAAGAGAAATGCCTTCCAGTCAGGGTACATGACCTCATTTGGACCCTAATTCAAGCAAATCAGGGGAATAAGTGAGAGAATATGGTTAGGAAATATGGGCAGTGTCCCGGCATAGTGGCTCATGCCTATAATACTAGCACTCTGGGAGCTGAGGTAGGTAGATTGCTTGAGCTCATGAGACCTCATCTCTACTAAAAATAGAAAAGAAAACTGAAGTAAGAGGATCACGAGGGCAGCGCCTGTGGCTCAAAAGGGTGGGGCACTGGTCCCATGTGCTGGAGGTGGTGAGTTCAAACCCAGCCCAGGCCAAAAAACTACAAAAATAAATAAATAAATAAATAAAGCTTTGAGTTTAAAAAAAAAAAAGAGGATCACGTGATCCCAAGAGTTAGAGGTTGCTGTGAGCTATGACACCACAGCACTCTACGCAGGGCTACAGCTTAAGACTCTGTCTCAAAAAAAAAA